TGAGTTTTTTCATGCGAGTTATTTTTGGTGGCAAATTGAAAGTGAGCATATCTAAATTTCCTTTTAAATTTAGGCACAACCAAGAAGTAGTAAAAATACAAAATTGGCAATACTGATGTGACACTCTGCATAACATGCATTTTCGGCATAGCCCGAAAGAGCGTAATTTGCCGTGCCCGAGACACTCTGCATAACATGGCCCTAAGGTTGGTAAAAAAACAGAACGCAACAAACATCGCTCTCTTTTTTGCATCCGAACCGGTAACGGAAACGCACAGAAAAGTTAAGCAATAGTGGAATTAGCAATCCACACATATATGTAGGTATAATCCGAAAACGCTACTTTGTTGTATTTTGAATTATATGTGGCGCTATATATTAAAATTTTATTAAAATAAAAGTAGTAATATATTCATTGTTAGTTCTAAATTTCTTGCTGGATTTATGTAGGTCTTAAATTTTGTTCCAATACTAATTTTACACTTAGATATATCGAAACACTTTCGTATGAATGTTGTTTAAATAATGGAATTTTGCTGTTGAATTGTCAAGTTATGTATAATATTTTAACCAAAGTGTGAGCATTACAATTCTAAGATCGCATAAATACCCTGAAATGAATTTTTAGTAACCATTTTTTTTTAGAAAACCATTTTTAGTATACTTGTAAATTGTCTCATTGACTGACTTAACTCATGCTTAAGTCATTCATTTTGCTAACTGGTTTCATAGTTAAGTTAGTTTTGCGAAATCGGCTCTAAAAGCAATATAGCTTCAATTTGAATAAGAAACATCGATTTAAAGCAGTGAATAAATACCGTACAAGTGATTTTAAGGTATGAGTTTTAGCTGTTAGCTGACTATAACTCAAAAAATAAGAAAGATATGACTAAAAAGAAATTTATATATGTTCAAACATGTGTGACGTCAGAGAGATCTTAAAGGGAAGTTTTAAGAGCACCCGATTTTGCATTATTCTTAGCTCTACCCACAGGACTCTTGACAGTATTTAAAGAATATATCAAGTGTATTTAACAGAGCGAGCACTATCTTATCCTGGCTCTTGAACTAATGCAATGCTTGTCCTATTTTGGTTCATGTTACGTACTTGATATTCACGAAATACAGACCGTTTATACCTATATATTAATTTTGTATATTGTCAGATTCCATATTTCACAGGAAAGAGATAGAAAGCCACAAATAATAGGTCTGTTCCACGAGCTACTCATAGTAAAACATGAGAAAAGCAGAAGTAAAATTTACAAAAAAATACTTGAAAATTTGCTGGTGGAACGCGCTTGTGTATACACAGTGTTTACTCAAAGTTACTATGAGTAGCTCGTGGAACAGACCTAATATGTATAAATCAGAAAAAATTTAAATTTTCAATTTATATTTTTTTCGTGTAAATTTATTTTATTTTATCAATAAATTGTAAATGTATTAAGACAAAAAACGTTACTTATATTATAATAGTTTTAATATTTTATTTTGATTAAAATTACGCAATTTTAATAATGAATATATAATATATGTATTTATATTGTTTAAATTTAACACTTTCTTTAAGTTTTTAAAGATATTAATATTAACAAAGGGCAGAAACTATACATTTAACATTAAGGGATTTGTTTATAGGCGTGTGTGTATGTGTGCATGTGTAAATAATAATACAAATTTTATTGCAAGTATATATGCGTATATATGTATGTACAAACTAAGAATAAAAACAACAAAAATACCTTTCAACTGTAATATTCGATTTAAAAACTAAGTGCTAATATATAATATATAATACAATTTCTTGTTTTTGGTATGTTAATGCAATAACCGTTTATAACTAACATTTTGAAACTGTTGTAAGGCCCTAAATCCAAATTTCTCCATAACTTCCGTTTCAGAAAAATCTGTGCTTAAAAATAAGTTTTTGGTTTTTGAAAATTTTTCAAAGTATCGTAAGTTTAATATTGAAAAGAGTTTTATTTGGTTTACTAAATCAAATTTTGGGTAGATTTATAGAAAAAATTTAATTCTTTTTTAGTTATAAAGCAAAGTAACAATATTTTTAAAATTTTAGCTAATTTTTATATATGTATTATTTTAGGAATATACAATAATACAAAAGAAATTCTTTGGATTCTCTAGCTTTTGTAGTTAAGTTGCAACTCTGAAAAGTGCATACACTGAAAAAAATTAAATGCTATGACTTATGTTTTGTAAGTAGTTTTTCTTAAAAACTGATTCTGTAAGTATTGAATAAAGTTAAAAAATGTTCGTTGTTTGGGAAACCTTTGATTTTGTATTTTATGCAAGTAGTATATATTTTAAAATTAATTTATTTATGGATTTTCGTTGTAAATTTTGTCCTGTAATATTTTTTGCAAAATAATTATGGATAATATTATAATTTAATATATATAAATAAACTTTGTAAAATTGTTTAAAAAATTTGAGTGTTTCATTTACGTTAGCGTTCAATTAAGTTATTGTCAATTTTTTATTAACATTTTTAGTGTGCACTAAGAGTTTGAATTATAACGAACATTTTGTTAACAATTGTTTGTTATTAGTTTGTTAATTTTTTTTATTTTTTTTTTTGTTTTTTAGAATTTAGATAAGATTTCTTATACAACTTTAAATGATAAGAACACAACACAGCTTTTTTTCGTGCTTTACTTTTTCATCATCGAACTTTTGAATGTGTATCTATAACTATATCTAATTCGAAATATCCTAATTTAATTTTATTAAATAGTTTTCATAAGGCCAAATGAACTTTTCTTAATTAATAAAAGTATTTAAGCTTAAAAACTAGTTTTACAAAAATTTATAACTAACGCTTAAGATTTAAATGAACAAATAAGTAAGAATCGTAGAAGGTCTAAATGCAAAATAGGTGACCTCGACCTCTTAAGAAAAACTTTGCTAGTGGAATGATCAGCATATTGGCTTTATATGTTTTATTTAATTTAATTTAATTTAATTTAATTTAAATATATTTTAATTAATATTGTTTTTCAACAATATCTTAAAGATTCACTAAAATTAAATTTATCCAACTATAAATTTTGTTTGTTTGCTTTTTTTGTAAATGCTTATTTAAAAATCTTCTTTCAGTTAAAATAAATTTTCAAATGAAAATGGATGCACAATATTTTTTATATATTCCGTATACTATAATAAATATTTTAAAATTGCAATCAATATATTTTTTTTCTGGATTAAATTAAATACATAGTTAAGGAATTGGTAGATAAATCGTTAAAAGCGGCGAAGCGGTGGGGATATTTTATTATAATCTTTTTAATAATTACTGTTAATTATTTTAATACAATCATTTCACAAAAATACTTGGAATCAATTTCAACTATTAATGTAACTAATTTGCAATTTACAGCACAAATACGTAGAACAATTTCATATTTTTGCATATTCACTTTTCAAGTTTTATATATATGTAGTAACCATAAGTAAATATAAATTTTAATAGTGAGTTAGTTATTGGTAGGTAAATGTACATAGTAAGTTTTTGATGTCTAATTTCTGTATTGTCAAGTTAACACCTTCTGGTCCAAAATTCATGTATTCGCGGTTTATGCAGTACCGATTAGGAAATAAGATTTGAAAATTAGGAGTTCAGTAATACAAAAATACATTTTCTCCAGTTTTATAATAAAACTAAGCGTAAATTAGTAAACATTAAAATTGCTAAAACCCAGCCTATTTTAATTTTGAGTTGATGTGTAGAATATTTTGAGCCTAAATTATAAAGCGAAAGCCATCTCGTTGGAGTACATAAAAAGGTACCGGTTTTTCAAAAATAAAATAAATTCATTCTGTAGTATTTACTATATGTATCTAAAACACTAAACAATATGTACGTACTTAAACTTAAAGCTAAGACAGAAAAATATATATGGAAGAACTAAGATGTATGTATTTCATAAAATAATAATGGATTTATATAAAGCAACTAGTTTATAAGAAAATGTATCGAAACATAAATTTGTATATAAATGTACATTGTAAATATTAAAATATTAAAATAATAATAAATTCGATATAACGAAAGGTTTTCTGATACTAAAACACATATTAAAAAATATCAAAAACTAAATTAATATGACAACAATAATTCTGGGTTCACTACTTGAAAAAAGCTCTATCTGTGTTCCTGCACATAATAAAAATATTAAAAAACAATACGACTAAATAATGAAGTCTGCACTTAAACGATAAGATTTTTGCAGTGTAAACGTAAATTCTTACAACTTTAAGTACACAGTTAAGTGTGAACGTTTCGGCTGGCCACTTTCAGCCAGCTAATTGAGATGAGATGCCGCTTTTATTTTTCCGGCTGGAGTAGTGATATTAATGCAGCTGTTACGCAGCGATAGCAGTTCTTTAGTTGATAAGCAGTTTGGGATTGAACAAGTCGAATGGATGTTGAGTTGGCGCCTGCGTTGGTGGGGGTGGTGCGTTAAATCTTGGAGGCAAGATAGTCGCACCGTTGTGGTGATGTTGGTGAAGATGAGGATGAAACAGCGAAGCATTGTTTATGTGCAGTTGTTGCAAGGCATGAGGACTATGCAATAAAGGCGGATGCGCAGTTGCTCTTTGCTGTTGCAAACTTCCAGTGTTCCAACTATTGAACAGTCTTTGTTGCTGACGTTGCTGCTGTTGTTGTTGTAACGCTGCAATTGTAGCGTTATGTTGGTACGCTGCGGCTGCAGCTGCTGTTATATTCATATTATTAACACCAATACCGGGAGGTGCGCCAATAGTAGCGGCGTGTGCTCCATTGGAGTGGCCATTCAGCATAACTTTTTTCCGAAAATCTACAATATTCAATAAATTGGTATCAAGCGTTGTTGAGTTCCGTCTAAAGTTATTGCATGCATTTGGATTCGTTCTCGACGTGCTCGGTGCTGCAGATTTTGTAGCTGTTGTTGTAGTTGTTGCGGAGGTTAAAGCTGCTGAATTGTCGCTTACCTATTCCCTATAGGGCTTGCAATATGAATAGCGGTGATTCATGTGCTGGCTATAGGAGCCGGAATGCGAGAATCGTTTAAGGCATTTGGAGCATTGAAAGGGTTTCTCACCGCTGTGTAAGCGTTTATGTTCAGTAAGATGATGTTTGTGTTTGAACGCTTTTGGACAATCAGCACATTGGTAGGGGCGTTGACCTGCATGAAATAGAAACAAAGGCAATTTATAAGATTTACGTTAGAATCGAACCAGTTAAATTGACTCACCGGAATGTTCATATTTGTGTCTTGCCAGCGAACTTTGCTTTGCAAAGGCTTTGTCACATTGATCGCAAACGAATGGTAGGTCAGGATCGCCAGCATGGCCATGTGTAGATTCATTTTTGGCACGTTTTGGTTTGGGAGGAAGCAACATTGTAGCTGCAAAGTCATCCTCGTGTGAAATACGAGAATCATCATCACGCCATGAACGTTTCTCTGAGCCTCCAGGACTAAGGCTTGTACCTCGTAATGTGTTCAGCTTAATACTGCTCATCAACGGATTTCGAGCATATTCGGCAGCAGCTGGTGACATCTGAAAGAGCGCTTCCATTGGAACCAAATTGCGTTGTGTTGATGAACCAGGTAACATGTATGATGAAGGTAAATGAGCGCCAGTCATTGCGAGAGCTGCAGCTGCAGCTGCAGCATTAGGAAAACCACCAGTCGGCAAAGTATTGTGGCGAGGTGTTGACGTTTGTTGTGGTAGCATAGGTGTTTCGTTTGGGGAAGGAGTCTGTCGCAGTATATGCGGTGCGGGCGTTGGTCCAAAGTATAGTGCCGCTACCGCGGCTGCAGCCACTTGTTGTTGTTTGAACGTTTGTGGCACTGATGCAGCAGACGAGGGAGAAAACGAAGGAGAGGACACTTTCCGTCTACAAAGATTAATAGCTTCGTTCAGATTTGAAGATGATTGCGGTACAACTCCATAGAGTGGAGAGAGTTGCTGTGAGGAGTTAATAGTTAGTTTAGCAGACATCATGTCTTCTCGCTTAAATGACAAATCGAGCGGCTGTTCGTCTATTCCTTTGGGCACGAAACTATTTTTTGACTCACTGCTTTCCTGCACCTGACACGACAATTTGTTGCCATTGCTTTGAGTTAATTGTTGATGATGATAACTTTGCAACTTGCGTTCGCGTGAGCGATTATTTTGGAACCACACTTGAACTACACGTGCATCGAGCTGTAGTCGTGCAGCAATAGCGCGGAATTCCTCACGACTTGGTCGAGCATTCAGAGCATAATGTTGTTTTAGTAACTGTTGCTGCTCCTCGTTGATGGCTGTACGCACTCGTACTTTACGTTCACCATTTTCGCTATTGCAGTCGTTGCGCGAACTAGAGTCATGTTCCTCATCGTGTTCCTGTTCCTGCTCATCCTCATCTAAATCACTGGACTGTAAAAGTAATGAAGAACTTCCTGATGTCTGTTCGACTGATTCATTCAAACGCACTAAATGTTGTCGTTGGTATTGGCGCTGGTCGAAGTCATGATTTATTAACCCACAAAGAACTTTTTCATGCTGCACAAGTTCAGTTGGATGGTTGAACTGCTTGTCACAACGACTACAACGTAGCTCAAAACCTAAATTAATTTCGGTGAGTTCTTTCTGTTCCTCTGTCTTAGCAGTCTGGTTGTTTTTAGATACAGTAGTTATCTCGGTCATCTTGTTGCTTGTGGATAGCGTTTTGATTTCTTCATTGAAATCTGTTTCACAACGCTCTTCTGATTTGATTTTAATGCAAGGTATTACGGTACTACTGTCTATTGTGATGGGTGAAGTGGTTCGACTTCTTTCTAACTTAACAGAAATATTTTCGAACTTTTCATTATTTATTATATCTTCAGCTAAATTATTTAAATAAGGTTTTTCATTATTTTCAAGCAATGCTTCTGGTGTTGAACTTCTGGATTTTGGACGGCTATTACCCGTTTCTACCTTATCTTCTCGAAGTTCATAATCTTTTTCACACTCTTCCAAAGAGTTGGATTTGTATTCATCACCATTTTTGTCTTCTTCAATATCTTTTTGTTCACTATCATCTATGTCCATAATCAGTTTTGGGTCATCCGGTGTCTCTTCTTCAACAGCATCGTCGATAATGTTACCATTGGAAGCGAGATGAGATTGCATATCAAGCTGATGTTGTTGCTGACCAGCTGCAGTTAGTTCTAATAGACGTTGAATTCCATAGGGATGAATTCTAGGTTCAAGTGGCAAATTATAAAAAGGATGTGGAAATGCAGCTAAAAGTGCATTTACGGCATGATAATCATTGTAATTTGGCAATAATTTTTGGTAAAATGCAGCAGTTCCTCCACTAGAAACAACATCACCGGCAAAATAATTCATAGGGTTGGGCATGCCAGTTGGATTTATAGGCGAATTCCCCAAGGCAATATTTGAAGAATGGTCAATTATACCATTTGTCTTACCATTGGAGGCACTTGTATTCATGTTATGACGTTTCGCGGTAGAACCTTGTGTTGTGGGACTGGTGACACCGTTTTTCTCTAACGATTTCAGCATAGCACGGTTGTTATTGAGTTTCAATCCCATGCTAATACACTTCTTCGAAGTCATATGCGAAGAGAATGAACCTGAATGTGAGAACCGTTTACCGCAATTATCACAACCAAAGGGTTTTTCTCCAGAATGAATTCGAACGTGTTCCTTCAAGTGGTGCTTAAACTTAAATGCCTTATCGCATTGGTTACACTTGAATTTGCGCAACAAAGCCGACTCATCGTGACTGATCATGTGGCGTTGTAAGCGGTAAACATTTGCGAATGCCTTATGACAAATATTGCAGCTCTGCAAAGAAATGAAAATAATTTTTTATTTAAAACAGAAGATATCTCTACTCTCAAGTTCACTTATATATCATAGCTCCGAAACCATCGGAAGTTATACATATAGTATATCCTCCTCTATTAAAATTAACACTGCAGCCTTTGCTCAATTGATCTGATAATTATTTTCGCATCTAACACATGTAGAATCTTTTGAATTCTGGAAATTAGGTAATTACGCATTTTTGAACACCGAGGACGGACAAATTATGAATGGAATTAGAGCCAACAGAAAATGAACCCAACGCTTGATAAGCTTGGCAGAAGAATGCGGTGGAGGGTACAGTATTAAATCAAGAAAACAATGTGAATAAAATAGAATTGCAAAATTTGAAAGTATTTAAATGTAGACCGATTTGTGAGGCTTTACCACTGTTGTCTTTTGTCTTCGCAATAAATTTGTTTTATGCCAAAAAGTCTTAATATAAATCTAAATCATGTTGACAAACTCATTTAGAGATATACGAGAAACAAGTCCATTGATTTATTAGATTGAATAAATTTTTACGATATGTTTAAAATTGTATTTGGTAAATTCATAAATTATTTAATGCTTAAATAATAGCAACACAAACTAGTAAATAAATATTTTCCAAAAAAAAATTTTTTTTTTGAATTGAGCAGAAATAAATAGTTATTAAAGAAATAGAGGAATGGAAGGGAGCTTACAAAAGTAAACGTAAATAAAAAAGTCTTGTATTGAGATGCCGATTAAATTTTTATTTTAATATATATTTTAGACCTTGTCATAAGTTGAAAAATTCAATACCATACTAATATCTGTCCCTGCACCATCACGTAAACTGACTGTAGTGATTAGAATTAGCCGTTTATGTCACACTTTCATCACATTCAAAAAGAATAGGCCTGGATGTGTCATAACATATATTGACTTTTTGTGGTTACGCTTGTTTTTCATATGGAGTTACTTATGGACTTTCATTGCCCTAGAAACGATCATTGTGTTTGTTAACAAATATTACAAGAAAAAACTGAACCTCTTCAACAAAGAAAATTGGATGCGTAAATACAAGTTGCCTAGGATAACCCATGATGCTCATGACCTGCCATAGCAGCATTTCAGGATCCCTCTAATATTATTATTCGGTACGTCCATCTAAGCATGTAACATCTTTTCCCTATCATTGCAAATTTGAAGTAATTTTATGTTTAAAGAATAAATTGGAATTCTACAGGTAATAAAATTATTTAAAATAAGCAAAACAACATTAAAACTTAAGAATCAACAGGAAAAAACACAAAAGCCAAATTGTAATTTTAGCTGTGTATCTTCCTTCAATTAAATTGGACAGAAAATCGTAAAAACACACAAAAAATGAAAACCTCGAATTTACCGGCAATAAAACATCCGCACATTAAATCACGGAAAAATTGAGCGCACGATCGTAAAAAATTTCAGAATTTCAAAATAATTGTTTGTGTTTGTAAAAACACACAGCAAAAATATATTTTGAAACAATTTGAGCAAAAATAAATAAAACAACTTTTGATAAAAACCCACAACGCAACCAAAAACCTGAAACTTAACCACACGCGAAGGCGGATCTTCGACAAACTGAATGACCAAACAACAAAGGTGAGAAACGATCTTGAGTCATTTGAGAAGTTTTTCTGGGGGGAAAGAAGGGACAAAACCAACAAGGCACATGTCGATTTATAGTTCGACTCAGAAGTAAATAATCGGAATAATTATCGCAATTAGACAGCTTGATCTGTTTCATTAGGCATCGATAGTATTGAAGAAGATATGTGTAGAGGTATGTGTGTAGACAAAATATAAAATAGATCGGATTAAAATAATAACAAATCGTGGTAACATTCAATAAAATAATTTTTGTTAAGATTAGTTATTTATAAAAGCATATGGCGTCACAATTTCCGGGCAGAGTCGGGGTGCGCAAATATTATGGTAAATTATCTCCATTTGCTCATTAATATAATCATCGTAAGATAGTCTTCATTCTTCAATTATAAAGACTTATTAGATATCAAATTAAAAGCTACATATGTATGTATATATATAAGGTAGTTAAGCAAAATTTTTTTAAAATATATATTTATTGAATATTTATTATTAAGATATTTATTTTACGGATCTTAATTTTGTAGAAGCATTATAACGAAATTTTTAGATCCAAATTATGTATTGTACATATTAATAGAGATTTATTTTATTTCCCTTTAATATTAAATGCTCAAAAAAAATTTTTTTCTTCCCCCGTTCGTAATTACGTGTTATGCCTACGCAGCAAACTCCAAACATTAAAGCCGAGTAATAGAAAATTCAAAAAAAATAACAACAAAGTAGAGCGAAAAACTGGTCCCATTTTATAAACATACGACAGCTTTCAGGAGAGCCACATAGTAATTGACAGATTTGTTGTTTTTGTTTGTGCTTCTGTTTTGAGGTGTGTCAATACAAAAACAAAGAAGCTATTAAGGTTTGAACGATGTTGTTGAAGTCTGATTTTTACCAAAATTTTTTCAAAACAACAATAGATTCTTCATAAATTTTATTTGTTTATTAATTAAGATACAACAGTGATAAATACTTTAAATATGCACACACCTGCCTGACTGTTTATATATTTTCACTGTTTAAAATTTCTTTTGAGAATTAATATCATTAACAAGACATTTGCTTTGTTAGAGCTTAACAAAAATAACTTAAAGCAAATAAAAATAAACAAACGAACTTCACTAAGCACATTAAGAAAATGCAATAGCGATCATCATCATCATCATAATGATCATTATTACTATTACATTTATGAGGGAAAAGTGTACGAGGTAAAATGTATAAAATTCCAAAAGAAAAAAACGAAAAAGCTCGACTGCAAGAAAAAGGAAAGAGGGGCGATGTGGAGGTATGTACATATGCAACATTGTGTGCCTTGCTGCAGATAAATTACTAATATATTTAAATAATTTATCGATAAGTTTTATTTAATGCTTTTAAAAAACCTGTGTTCTTTCTTCTTCAATCGTATGCAACTGTTGAAAGATGTGTTAACATACACGCATTGACCACCTTTAAATTCGTTTTTCCTCATTTAAATCGCATTTTGTGGCGGCAACTGCACCTCAAAGCATGCAGTGTTGACGCATGGGAGACATGTTGACTGCTTGAAATAAATCAAAAGGTAAACTTTTAACAGCGAAATGTGCATTGACCTTTAACTTGTGGACTAAATGAAAACTTTAGTGGTAGTCATTTTAGTGGTAATAAATAAAACTTTTATTTTCCTTGAACCGCTTATTCATACAAAATACATATACGTACATAATCCACCGATAACTTAAAATATTTTATAATATCGAGCAGCGGTGCGTAAATCATGTGTAGACTGGCATTTTAGTTCCTCATTGCCGTGAGCAGAACATTCACAGATTCCCGCGTACATTTTAGAGACACGCGACTATTAGTTTTTGATATACTTGATTAATTTGTTATAATTTTAAAATTCTTACTAAGTATCACTGATACTTAGTAAAAAGTTTCAAGACAAAACTTTTTGCTGATTTTTAATCACTACATTTGCCACTAAGTGTGGAATTAATGATGTTAATTTTTAAGTTATGATAAGTCATTAATTTTATTACCAAAAACGAAATCGATAAATTTCCATACGTTCAGTACTTACATATATATATATATATATATATATATATATATATATATATATATTATAATATATATATATATATATATATATATATATATATTTTTAATATATATTATATATATATATATTATATATATATATATATATATATGGGTGTGTATATCTAATTGTTTTCATTTTAACTGTAAATAGTCGGGTCAAGTTGCTGCCTTCAATTAATGCAATGAGTGGAGTGAATCACACGATTTCAAGCGAACACGGCAGTTTCATTGTTGATGATAATGTTTTGTTGTTGTTGTTGTCACATCTTCAGCTTCCAATGAAATGAGATCAGTTTTAATTTTACATACACTTAGCAGCTGCAGAGCAACAATCGCTGGTGACTTCGGCTTAAACGCAGCATGGGCTGTTCATCATTATGAAGTTCGCTGACAAGTTGATAGCGAAGTTGGCACTTCTCCGCTGCGAAATATAATTTTAGTTTTTTTTCGCGGTTTTACAAATAAAAATGAACTTTGCACATGTTTTGTTAATGTTGAAAAAAAATGGGAAGAAACTATTTGTGTACTTCTTTTTGTAGAGCAGAGAGAGCGTTGAGCAGTAAAACCTTACAGCAATCATAACGAATACACTTAGAAAAATTGTGTCGACCACGACGCCAAGTTTATTAAAACTCGTTTATATTTAATTGGTTGTGTTTATTTTCAGAGTGAATCCCTCATTGATTTGAATTTTTCTGGTTTCGATAAATAAATAATGCAAACTTTTATTTATTAGTAATGTTTGCTAAAATTATTTGCAAAATTAATAAAAAAGAGCGGATATTTAGAGTGGGCTCCAGTATTGCTTCTAAAATTTTTTCGAAATTAAAACGACTTTATTATTAACTTAATATTTGAGTACAGTAATTGAGATCTATTATGTTACTCTATATAAATTATTGTGAATTTTATTTTTGGTGTTAATCTTACTTCAAATTTAAACTAAGAACACAGTTACATATTCAAACACACCCTGTATTATGATGACTTCACTTATGTGGTGTCGCATAAATAAAATGCTTACCAAATTACTTTACTTTAATTTCAGAAAATTTTAATTTGTTGTTATATTTATTTTTACTTTTACAACCAAAGCTCACAATTCAATGTTATTAAGACAATTTAAACAAAATAAATAAAATGTTTAACATTTCAATTATTTTTTATGGTTTTAGTATGGAATATGTGGCGTTTGAAGTCATGCTGTGTCTGCATGCAACGTGCGTACGACTTGGCATATGCAAAGCTCAACCACTGAACGAATTCAGATTCTA